CCCCCCCCCCCCGGATATAAGCCCCCATTCTAACTTTCCTTATTATAACCTTTTGAAATACAATCCGTATTTTGTTTCGAAGCGCTTTTCAATTCCGGTTATAAGCCCCCTCGGATGTCAGCCCCCACGTTTATAGGCCCTTATCTAAAACCATTTACAAAGATGTAAAAGCCCAGGTGTCAAACCCACAAAGTATTCGGCCGCCTTCCTGAGAATACGTTGTAGACAGAGTCACACGGGAGCAGACGAATTAACGGCGATTTCTATGCTATACTTCGTCAACTGCTTATGCAGCTCACGTTTTCCTATTCGGCTGGTAATTCTAAAAGAAATGCTTTCAGGATGTTAGAGCTTCGTAGAAGATCAGTACGATTTTCTGACTACCAGGCAAGAATTCTACTCCTGGGTATGTAAATACTGCGATAGCGATTTGAATATCAAACACCCGAAACGAACGAACATACACAAGGCCCTGGTTTTATTTCATATCTTGAAACTATAGCTCAGTTAAAACGAGGAAAGAAAACGTGCGGCAGATACACACTATCCAATTGGCTCCGCGTGGAAATTCATAGACTATTAAAGTAAATTGACAGACGCGAAGATAAAGAATGATTATCATTTACGACTTGTAAATTGTGAGTTCAAATGCTCGCTCTCATGACCCGGGTATCATGACTTGTTTTAAGTTAACAAGTGTTTAAGAATTTAAAATCACACAAGCCTAACCTTTATCCATGGCCAAAAGACACACACAGCAATTCAGCAAAGGTAAATGAAAGAAGGAAGTCTTGTATTGCTGTCCCTTGCCTCACTGCACCAAGAGCGACACCCGCAATATGACGTCAATTGGTTTTGTAAAATAAGTCACGCGAGATTAGTCACGCGAAGCTTTTAAAATCTTAATTAAAATATTTCATTTTGTAATTTTTATTTCATGTAATACTAAAAAATAAATGGAATGATGTAAACGCAGGGTTTGAAACATGGAATATTTCAATCAGATAAAAGTGAAACTGCATCATGTGTCTCTATTATTAGTGGAGCTTCTGTGTAATAGTCCAGAAATGCATGCTGGTAGTAGCAGTCCTCAACTGCATAAAAATCTATTTTGCTTTAATTTAGTTTTTAATTTCTGGGTTTCAGTTCGTTTTGGGGGGCTCTATTGTTTTTACTTTCACTTTTCTTATAATATAAAATCAAAAAAATATAAATAAACTGAAAAAAGAGATAAAGGAAATAATAGCCAAAAGAATAACCACCAAAATTCAGATTTTCAACAGACAGTTTTCAGCCACCATAGATTAAGGTACATGTAGGTATGTATCAGAGTATTAGAATTTTGTAAACTAATTATTGGCTGCTAAATTAAATGCCAGTTTTATGCAATAGTATTATGCATGCTTTGTATAGCTACTGTGATTCTCAGTTTTATTTCACCCTTTTCTGTCCACTGCTACTGTTTTGGATAGTGTAATTGCTTCTATGATTTTGGTGGTATGATACTTCAACTCAACTTCGGAATTGTGATGCATAACATTATAGGCACTATGTTATTACAGACGATACAAAACAGTAGTCAGGTATTCTAAAGTTTTCTGTTTAAAGTTTTTAGCCCAATCCCAGTTTAGTCAAAAAACCAAATTTTGGTTCTTAGCTCCATTGCTTTGGACATGTGAGGACTCTAACATTTGCAAAATACCATAGAATTTTGCTCAATCATTGTCAGCCTGACAGCGTCCATTGGGCCACTGCATAACCCTCGGACATACACACAGAGCCCCACTGTGGTACAAGGGGGGGTGGGTTGATGGACCCCCCCCCCCCCCCCCC